CGTACTTTTATTAAATGCGACTTCATTATATATGCTACATAATTTAAAAAGAAAATCAGTATCACATTTTACGCCACAAGTTAGAACAATAAACATCAAATGGAATCGGAATTAGTTCCATGTTTCTCCGATAGATGGAAGGACGTGCTTCAATTCGCCTACCAGCGCTGGCGTTCTGAACTGAATTTTACAAGAACCCATCTCTCTAAACTTCGATGCTGTATTTTCGTAGTTATATTCTCTTTCAGCTTGCGACTTAAAAGTGTTTATTGCATAAGATCAATTCCATATATTTAGAGAGTTCGAGGACCCAGCGCAGTTTTAAGGTATTTGGCGGGGATGGGTTGCTTACAATAATGCCCCTCGTCATAACAAAATACACAATACAACTTTTCTCGTTTGCATCCCCTGATTAGCAATAACTTCATAATATGATAAATATTATTTTCTAAATTAACTCTTGGAAATATTACTATTAAAAAATTAAAACAATACGCCTCAACTGAGAAATAGCAGAGTTGAAGAATAAGATAAATCTATTACTCAGTTATGAACAGTTTTGGATCTGGCAGGTAAATCCAACATAAATGCTGTTCTTAATGAGTTTGAGTGAAATTGTAGGTATGCATCGCAAGTGAGACCTGGAACACCAAGTTTCAAAAATACACACACACACACATATATATATATTCAAAATAAAGTAATTAAAAGTAAATTAAAAAGCCTATGACCTTGCGCTAAAGCGGCAAAGTAATAAACTAATAATTTATAAGAAATGATATAAATTCTTTATATCATTGATGAAGAAAAGATGATATAAATAATATAAGAAATAATATTAATATAAAAGATATAATAATAAATATATTTCTTATATTTATAATAATAAATAATATAAGAAATGATATAAATTTCTTTCAAATGATTTCTTATTATAAATTTATAATAAGAAGATTGGTTTATTCCCTTGATAAGTCGATTAATCTGCGATCAATGACAATAGCTAGATTTTCAATATTTAAAATCTACTATTGGTTTTGAATTTTTCGCTTAGCAGATTTTTAAACAAACGCATGCAATTTTTAAAGTACTAATTTAAATTCTAAAAAAGCATTTTTTTCAATGTTTTGTGTATGTGTGATTATGGCAAAGCTTCGAGAACTATCTACCTAAGACGAGGGATGCCTTCGTGGAGGACTTTCTAAGGGAAACTGGCTCGTATACACGTTACACATTTGGAAAACCACGAAAACCCCCATGCAGCCAGCCCGTTCGCGGGATTCCAACCTCGGACCGACCTACCAGTGTTCAGCGACTTTACCGCTCGTCCGCTGGTGGGCTTTTTAATGTTTTGAAATTAATGTTCCTTGGAGATGGTATATGGAAAGTGTTCTTATTATAAATTTTATATTTATACATATATATATATAAACCTATCATGAAATAATAACAAGTTTTTGTGTACACACATTACTTATTGTTAGCTAAATAACTGCAAAATATACTTTGTTAAAATTAGTTAAACTAATCAAAGCACAAATAAATGTAAAGAAACGAATGCCGAATAGCGATGCAATAGGGTTGCCGCAAACATCTTCTGATGACAGATACAGCTGTTTTTACAACCCTGACGCTGTAAAACTGTGTGTAAAAGAATATATCAAATGCTTCTAAATATAATTTAGAAAAAAAAAAAAAAATTCTAACTGGTATCAAAATTAATTAGTATTTTGTGAATTTTTACTGAAGTAGCACAATTTTAACTTGTGACGCCATCTATTGACGGCTTTCCGAACTACGCATAGTTACGGTTTTGTAAAAGTACTATTTCCGTTTGTCCAATTTTACCTCAAATCTAATTTAGCTCTTCATATGAATGTAGAAAGTTTAAATATGGAAAATAAGAATTTTTGGAAGATTGGTAAAAGAGTTATCGTAGACGAAAAAATTGTCACATGCAGACAGCCATCACTGCAAAAAATAGTAAAAACGTATTCTGGGGACCTTAATTCGTGCTTATGCACTGAAACCTAATTACCGAATTTGTGGACCGAAAACATTACCTCCCTTACTTATGTATTTCTTCATCAATAATATTTTTAGAAGAAAATTTACTTAATAATTTACTTAATTACTTAAATTTACTTATTAGGGCTTTGTTATTAATTATGCGATCCTTTTCTAATAAGTTCAGTAAATTCGTTTTACAGTTCGTCAACATATATACCTCTAAATAAGAGTGTTCTTATTTCTTACACTGTTGCGCATGAGAAATTTTAAAAGTGAATTTTTAATACAATTATTAAACCTATTTCAACATACAAATGATAAAAAAAATTTAAAAAAAAGTAAAATCAATAATATATTCTCCAAGGAAATTTTTCGTAAGATTATTATTATTTTTTAAATTTTCACACTATGTATAGTTACTATTATATAATTTTAAGATAATATTATACGAATTATATAAATTTATCTTATTGTCGATTCCATGTTGTATCTTCAGACATTCTCCTTCAAATTAATACTTTCTCTACAAAGATGTTCATATTTATAATGTCGGGCATAATTATGTGAACGCATAGGGTCTAGATTTACCGACAGAAAGTTAAAACCCTCTAGCCGGCCAGGCCGTATATATACGGCTTAGGATATATTATATACGTGCATCTTCATATACATCCAAGAAATTAAAACAGTATATTAAAAGATAAAGATTCCGGGTATAATACAGCAGAAGCAGTTTAGAATTTTAATCAAGACAACACCTTATTCTTATTGTAGTTTTTGGAAACTTTCATTTTAAAATATACCAACATTGCAACTTCGGTAACACATATTACAGAACCAAAATTAACTTATTTGAACATAAAAGCACACATAGTAGGCGGGAAATTTAGTGGTATTTATTTTTGCAAATATATGTGTAATTTCATTATGATCTATCCTTTTCTAATATATTGCATTATACGGGAAGAATTCTAGAATATTTAAATTATTTAATTTAGACTGACTGAGTAATAATTGCAGATAATTTTTAGTCAGTTTCAAAATAGAAAATGATCTTTTGGCACTATAATTTGGTGCAAGAAACGTTGCACTAAATTGCTTCTATTGCACTTCTATTGCAACTCAGTTATTGCTTTTAGAATACGTTCAGCTTTCGACAGCATGTCAACAGTTAATAAATTAATATGTTGAAAAGGAAAAACATTCTTTTTTATAGTTATTAAGTTATTCCTAGTAGAGAAAGGGGAAAATCACGTATGCCGTAACCAGCTTTAAGCCATGGATCTTCCGACTCTAGACGGAAGTGCTACAAATCACACCACGAGAGTACACCCTGGAAAGGAGATAAGTCCTTACATTCTTCCCTACTTAAAGGGTGGCTGGACATAAAGGTACTCAAGAAGCTAAACCCAGGTGGTGATGAAGTTTCGTCCACACCAGTTTTAGTGCGTTTATGGAAGTATCGTACACCAGTTTTAGTGTGTTTGATTTGATGGCTCTAGGTACCATTGTTAAAAGGCTGGGTTATACAGAGCAGAAGACATGAAAAATCAGTTATGCCCATGTCGAGATACAAGCCATGGATCTTCCGACTACCGGACAGCCGGGTACCACAACAGCACGCTCAAGGTATAATTGGTAGCATATCTGGCTGCCACTATTTCTGATCTACTTACACTGGAGAATGTTTCATCAAAATCATGCTGTTTTTTTTTTTTCCACACATATGTTTTTTCTCACCACAAAACAGCTTTTGGTTGTGGCGCTACACTTATTTCTGAACATAAATATATTTATAAAATAAAATGCTTGTAGTGGAACCGAATTTCAAATTGCATACCCAAAGACGCTTTATTTTTAACGTTTTGTGTGTTACCTTTTATCTATTAAATATCATGTTCTTCGCACTTAAACCATAAAATTCAATTCAACAGTAATATCGCAAAATAATTTAAAAAGAGCATATCTTTAGAATTTCCGATACACAGTCTCGCGGCTGGATTGCGGAGAAATTTTTGTTTTTTCCCGCCAGTGTTGCCATGGCTCGCTTTGAAATCGTTGAGTTTCTTAATCAAAAACTCATAAATGCTTTGCAAAATATGAAATAGATAATAAAATAAATCCCAAATTTGGGCTTCCAGATGCCCTTATTCGGGTGGAGATATCATCTATAAAATGCGTTATTCAAAATTTTATGGCTCTAGGTACCATTGTTTTATCACAGTGCGAGAAACATACATACATTTATGCAGATTCTTTATTATTTAATTTCTTTAAATGTAATATAGAGCGATATTATTTGGTGGCAACAATTTAAAAAGGGAAACGCCACAAAATGCCAAAACGAAATTGATGGCCCTTCTAGGCTAACGCCCTTTAGGCTAATTATATATTTGGTTAAGAAATCGCCTAAGATTAAAACTGTTATTGAAAATATTGCTAATGATTTGCTTGGTTACTTTTATAAAACATCGCAATATTTTTTGCTGAACTAAAACTTTTATTTAATTTTAATGACGTTTAAAATTAAATATAAACTGTTGTGTTCAAAACGTAACTAAGAAAAAATAACATAAATTATACAAGGGATTAATATTTAAAATTTTTGCACAGTAGTATCTATCAACAGAATGATAAATAGTCTGAAACAGTGGTGTGGATAACAGAGCAACAAGTGGTCTGAAACAGGGGAAAACTTTTGGTCCGAAACTGACCACAAGTTTTTTAAATGCCTATGTATGTTGAATTTAATTAAAATGTTTTCAATCTTCCTGAAGAGTTGATAGAAAACGTATTAAGGTTCATAAATTCATCACTTTACGTTCTTTCACTTCGCGCTGTCATAAAACTTAATAATTCCATTAATTCAATAGAAATAATAACACGTTTGTATAACACCTGCAACGATCAAATTAGTAAACAACATTGAAACTAGAAATGCAGCAATGTTACAAGAGATTAAGTAAACAACCATTTTATAAGAAGATAAATTTAAACAAACAAAAAATCACATTTATTCATATACAGTACAAAAAAATAACGATAATGAACTACACGTGACTCATACACACTATATAAAATACATATAATTAAATCCAAATGTCAGCATTGGGACTGAATGTTTAAAGATGCATGATGTGTTTCACTTTCTGCATTCAGCTCAGCTGCTTTGTTGATACTGTTCTTCTGGAATGCTGTTATGACAATTTTGCTCAATTTTATCTTCAGCTTTGGAGGAATTGTGGCTGCAACTGTTGGCACTGCGACTTTTCTTATCCTTCTGAACTAATCCATTTTCTTTCGATTCCTCCTTTGGTTGTTCAACGACTTCTTTTTTACTTTTCTTCTCATTCTATCAAAAAAGAAAAAGAATTAACTAGTTAGTTTTTCGGGTTTTTTTTAAAGTTACTATTTTACAAAAATTAAGGCGATGACAAAATGGATGTTAAGTGCGTTTGATTATGAAGTGTAAAACATTTTGTATTAATTTAATACTATGATTGCAGAAACATTGTATCATAAAATATGAAATATTCTGAAATTCTGCTCTAATATTTCGAATCCTTCTGTTTCTTAAATTTTTACTCAAACAGCAAGCGTTCAATGACATATAAATAGTTTTGACGAAATAAGGGTATAGTATTTTTTTTGCACGTTATTTTTACGCAACTTATTCGAACAACAAAATCTAAAGATATTTTCCATGTTTTATCATATTTTCTCCACGTTATTTTTACCAAAATTATACGAATTCAAATACACTGAAAACACTATCGGCTTCATTGTATTTTTCTCCAGCACTTTTACGAATATTATACGAATTATAAAAAGAAAAGTGAAAATAAAATTTATGAATTCAAAATATCTAGTGATTTTCTGGCATTTTACATTTTTCTTTTCTTTGCACGAACATGAAAAAGGAAAAGTATTTTTTAAAACTTCATCAGCATTTTAATGTGATACAAAATGCTGTTGAATATAAACACGTATTTCTGTGTTTAAAACATTTAAATTTTGCCCGCTGTTGAATAAAATTTAACACGCTGTTTAATTTAAACATGTATTTTTGTGTTAAAATGGTTTGTTAAGTTTAAAACAATTTTAACTCTCTAAAAAGCTCTAGGAAATTGGAATATGAATCCCGCGACTTCAAAATGCGAGGCTCCTGAGACTTTTAAATTACCTTAGACATTATACTAATGATCCCATATGAGGCTAAAATATTTCGAAGAGTTTCAACATGTGTGAGAAATTTTATATATATTTGCAAAAAATTATTAAGGATGTTCTTTATTTTAAGGCTTGTAAAATAATTTATTAATTTTCTTCTTATACCAAATTTATCCTTTTGTATTTATATCGACATTTATATTATATTATGATTATATATGTGAGTCAGAGAATTTTGTTTCTTATCTAGTTAACTAAACTTCAACTGACCTTCCAGAACGTGGTGTAACTTCATAATTAAAATTGCCGGATCGTAATTTTGCAAACCAGTTCTGGCACTGGTGCTCTGTCAATAAATCTTCTCCATACACATCGGATAATTTTGTTCTTGCTTGAAAAGCATTTTTACCTTTTCGATAGTAAAAAAGTAAAGTGTGCCGAAAATGCTGTTTTTCACTTTCCATATTTGAAAGAGCACCGACCAAAAACCACTGCGTAGAATCAATCGAACGTTTTAACAAATAAGCCTTGCTATATCAGCTGTCAAAATATATAATGATTATGCGGCTTAAGCGTAAAGTTGGCTGTGAAAAAATACAATTAAGCCCTCCGTTAGGAAAAACGAAATTACTTTCCAAACAACCCAATAGTGTTAAAGAAACATAACCAGAATGAATCTAATTTTTGATATTACATGTGTAACTGATTACTAAAATTTACATCTCAAGTGTTTTTGCAACTACTCATTATTTAACTAGGTTTTATACCCTAAACATAATCGGCATTTAGAGGGAACTGAAATAAATATTTCAAGTATATATTTTAACTCATTCTACATAATTGCCTATACATGTATAGACACTCCTCACTTCATGGACTTTCGCAAATACGAAAAACCTGTTCTCAAAGAGTGAAATTTGTCCGGAGTCGGAAAGAAAATAGATAATAATGAAACATTTGGTAAGAATATAAAATCAAGGGCTGATGATGACAACACAAAAAAGCGACAAGCCATTTCGTCTGAAGCCAAAATGAAAGTGAAAGTGGTGAGAAAATGATAAATGTTGCAGGTAGGAATGGTGTGAATATTTTCTTGTTGGCTGCCTTTGGCTTCGAAAAGTAAAACTAGATAGTTTTTTTTTTATTTTTTAATGGCCAGGAGCTTTATTTAATAACCCTTAGCCTTGTGCCACAACAAGGGCCGGACGTTGTGGCCATTTCATTATGGAAGCATCTAATAGGGGGCCAACCATTACCTATCAAGGGACGGACATTATCACATGGTACAGCCATGCTTTCTCCGGGACCATCGCTACGGCAGTCAGAATGCCGTTGACGATATCCATGCGACGGCATTTCGGTGAATGGCAGATTCTTTTCCGTCGCATGGACGTAACTCTGATTGGTGTAGTACCTTAAGGTCAGAGGTCCATACGACGGCGTTTCTGTCACTAACTACTATACCGGCTGAGCGGCTAAAACCAGATAGTAACCCTCAGCATTTTGAAAGAGAAGATTCATCTTCGGAATGAGATCTCTTAATTCCCCAGACAAACAATGGAGGGGACTTTGATTCGCGCAATTGAGTTACATCGCCCGAAACAATTCTCAAAAGCAATAATTGCATACTTGTACAGTACCGACGTAATCAACAGACGTGATCCCTTTCGAACAGCAACATAGAGAGGAAAAGGTAGAGACTATCTCAGAATGTTCTACCTAGAATGTTTGATACAAAGTTAATGGCAGTTCCATTTTCCGAGAGATCTGCTAAAGTAAAGTTTTTATACACTGTGCTACATAGTGTCTCCCGTTCTATCTTGTTTATGAGGGAAGAAAAGAAAAAAACTATTCAGACAAGTCAGAGCCGAAGCTAGGGCTTCCAAAGCCCGGGGAGAACTGAAGATTTTTGCGCCCCCTCCTCTTTCCCAAGAATGGAAAACATTTCATCGTAAAATTTCTTAACATCAATTTGGCGCCCCCTGGATGCTGCGCTCGGGAAGAGATGTTCCCCTTTGCTCCCTCCTAGCTACGTCCTGAGACAAGTTAGACATATATTTTCTTCAGAAATCGGTCTTGATGGTCCATGTAACATGCTAAACATGTAACTTGCTAAACATAAGCTTTATGCCATGTAACATGCTAAAATACTTTTCACACAGCTTCTTTTTAATCACAAATGTCCTTTTTGCTTGCCAGAGGTTGACTCATCCCACCCATGTAAAGATCTACTAGTCTCATCATCTCTTCCATTCATAAATGCCCTGAAGACGGCAGTCCACGTTACTTACGTTATGAGTACATTATAAATAAGAAGAAATATATGCATAGTTTACTGCATAGTAAATTACTTTACTATGCAGTAAAGTAATTCTTTATAGTTATTTATAATTTCTTATTTATACTGTACTGCATTTAAAATGTATTATTTATTTGTTTTAATATTTTTAGTTGTTTATTCGATAGTATTTATAGGTCTTACCACACAAACATCGTTAGGAGTTACCACACAAGCATATTAGGAGATATGCTTAGCGAATCCACTAACATTTTACACACAAATTCATGGTACGAACAGTCGTTTGGAACGTAACTCTTTCATGTGGTGAGAAGTGACTGTATATATAAACTTGTAATTAACATGCTACTAAATAATATGTAATAATTGAATCAAATAAATATTCGGGATTTATCACTTTAATAGGTAATAGATTGTGCTATAACTTGGGTTAGTTATAATGCATATACATAATACTACGTAGACCAGTGCTTAAGTTTTTAAAATACAATGCACAAAATAATTTTATATGAAAATAAATCATTATATTGTTTTTTAAAATATTCGCTTTTAATATTAACATAATTTTTTTAGAATAAAAACCGGTTTTCGTATTCAGAAATTTGTATAGCACAGATATGCGATTCACATGCGTCAATTGCTTCTTTTGAGTTATTAAGTTAGTCACCACGTAGATCATGTCTGATTGTTGGGAACAAGAAAAATCACTGTATACTGTACCACAACTCACCAAATGAATTTTTTTATATGCCAAATAACAGATAGTTTGAAATGCACTGCTTTTGTCATAATGCACAACGATCTACTGTTTCGTCACTCTTTCCCTTCCTTCTACGAGTATTAGAATGCGCATTTAGTGCTTGTTCTACGATCCCACAAAGCAGCAGTTCCAACATAGCCAACTTATTTTAAAAAATAAATAAATAAAAAAACTGAAAGGTTTTAAATTCAGATTTTAAATCACGTCCAAAGGGGTGCTTTTTTAACGTTTTTTTTTTTTTTTTTTTTTGTGTTACCTTTATTTATTAAATTCACGTCCAAATTTGCAATTAAACTACAAAATTCAATTTGTAATAATTGAACAGCAATATCGCAAAATAATTTTAAAATGAGCATATCTTTAGAATTTTTGATACACAGTTCCTCGCGCTGGAGATAAAAAGGTTTTTTTTGCCCCCACCCTCGTAGATTTCTCGTCCTGAAATTCTTGAGTTTGTCACTCAAAAATTTGTTAAAATTTTACAAAATATGAAATCGATAATAAAACAAATTTCAAATTTGGTTTTCCCCATGCCCATATTCGTAGGAGGATTACGTCATTCAAAATTCGATGGCTCTCTATACAGCTGTTTTATCACAATGCGAGATATATACACACATTTATGCAGAGTTTTCATTATTTAATTTCTTTAAATATAATGCAGGACTCTAACATTTGGTGGCAACAATTTGAAAAGTGATTCGCCGTTTATAGTGATTCAAAGCAAAATCGCAAAACGAAAACAATAGTCCTTCAGGGAAAAAGCCCCTTTGGACTAAAAAGAAAGATAAAAGAAAAAGAAAAGAAAGTTTTCAGATTTTATATTGCTAACAAATGGACTTTTCTTAACGTTTTATGTGTTACCTTTATTTATTAAATATCATGTTCTTCGCACCTAAACCACATAAAATTCAATTCAAAAGCAATATCACGAAATATTTCAAAACAGCATATCTTTAGAATTTTCGATAGACAGTCTCGCGCGTTGGAGATAAAATTTTTTTTTATTTCCTACTGTGTTATCACTGCCCGCTTTGAAACTTTTCTTTAAAGTTTTGCAAAATATGAAATAGACAATAAAACAAATTCCAAATTCTTGCTTCCAAGTGCCATATTGGGGTGAAGGACTACGTTATTCAAAATTTAATGACTCTATGTACCACCGTTTTTTCACAATGCTAGTAACATAAATACATTCATGCAGATTTTTCAGTATTTAATTTCTTTAAAAATAGTAGAGGGCGATAATATTTGGTGGCAACAATTTGAAAAGTGATACATTGCATTTAAGTGATTTAACGCAAAATGCCGTTTCGAGACAAATAGCTCTTTTCGGGCTAAGAAGGAAAATAAAAAATGAAATAAAGAAAGAAAAAAATCCAGTAGGACATATTTTTAAGAATTTGTTCATTTTGAAATGACCAAACAGTAGATCATTGCTTTGTTTTGTGTTTACAGGAAAAATAAATCCATATTTCATCCCCTGTTATAATGTCATTGCAACTACAGATTTTGCCTACATCATTTGACACGGGTCTTTTTAGTTAAATTGGCTGGAATCCAAAGCGCACATTATCGTTTTCACTCTTAAGTGATCATATAAAACTGATTGTATTCGGATTTTGATATATTCAAAAATGTCTCTATTTCATCATAATACGACACTACGATCTAATAAGATCATTTTTTGCTTAGCCTTAATGTTTTTGTTGTCGCAATTCTTTCTTGGTCTTCCTTCACAAAATTTATTATTCAGGCTTTTATGTCCATAAAAGAATTTTCAAATCGATTGGAAACTGTCGTTTTCAAACAACAGCGTAAAAAAATAGCTTTTCAAGTTGGTTAATAGCAAGTTGGATATTAGCGACAAAGTCCAAATTAGTAACATATATATGTGTGTGTAATGGCTATTTCTTGTATTGTCAGATTCTGAAAACTTAAGTGCCGTCTCTCGTGTAGTTCGAATAAATGTATTCCGATTAAAACAGATAAGCAGATAAAATAGTTTAATTTGTGTTACAAAAATGCTACAAATATTATTTAGAATAGAAACTTACAAGCCATGCCAAAAGTCCGAAAATGTACACAGGTAGAAGGGAAGGTATCACTCGTAACATTCCAACGGCCCATAATGCACTATTCGTTATAGCAGTAACTGGACCTTGCGACTGAGGGAAAAAGTTCTTTTTATTATCTTTGTTTATGCTAAGATTAATTTCTTAATACGACGGAATACAAGTACATTAGAACATACAAGCACTAAACAACACTTACACAGCATAAGCAACATGACTTGAAAGACTGCAAAGAAGATAATTGCCATTGAAATAAAAATACAATTTTTATAGCGATTAAATTATGAAAAGAAATTCAAATTTCTGTAAATGTGAGTAACTTTGGATGCATAGTTAAAAATATTTTGGAAAATGTTAATAGATGATTAATTAGGGTAACGCTTTTTGATTTCGGAAAGATCACGTGATTATTTTCCCTTGAGCGCAGAATAGGATGCCTGTGTATATATGTTTTAAAAAGACCAATGGAAGTCAAAAAATTCTAAAACGTTCATTTGCATGTTTTCTCTTTATCGCTATGTCTTGTGATTCATTTTCATAAAAGGATAATATCAATTGGTAACTTTGTATAAAACTTGTATTACAGATAAAATTTAATTCGTTCTATAGTTCTACCATCTTAAGAGTTCTTTTGGTGCTTTGGATAAACATAAGTTGCACTTTAATTCTTATAATAATTGTATATGTAAGTATTCCTAAAATAAACAAGCGAAGTACATTATATTAATATACAATAATAGTAATATTACAAGTGCAGTTATCAGTCCAAAAATGTTCAAAATTCAATATTTTTAGTGCCTAGATGATAATCCGTTAACAAAAATTTCACATTTTTCTTCCTCAGAGCATAAACTTATTTTAGTTGCGTTAGTAGTGCATCGTAATATGTAATGTAAATCAATCCGTTTACTCGCCACTCGCCAAAAACCAAAACATTAAATCCAAAATTGTCATCACCAGACTATTAAACACACTTAAAAATTACAACATTGAAACTCAAGTCTTTACAATACGAATAAATTAAGACACAAAAATTTCACAATTAAAATCTTAAAAATCTTCAGTAATTAGAGAAGAAGCAACCGTGTGCTCGGGACATAAGATTCCTGGCCATCCAATACAGCAGAACATCACCACTATGTTGTAGCTTAGAGTCAAGGTCCGGATAGACGAGCAAGTGCTATTTATTCATAGTGTCTGTTTTACACATAGGGCATTGGCTATTAGTCAATATGCCTGTTCTGATGAGATGTCCAGCTAAGCAGTTGTGCCTGTACTAGTCTGAAATTATACGTATGACAGCCTGTCTACCTGGCCTGCGACTGAACTCATTCCAGTCATTCCTGATATTCTTCCAGAATTTACCCTTCGATTTCATTAATAGTTCTCGATTGTAAGCTGACATAAGATTCTCTCGAACACTTCTAACGGAATCCAAAGGAATGGAACTCTGTTCAATAAATAACTCCGTACCCCACTTTGCAAAGAGATCTGTTTTTTCATTGCCATCGGTATTTAAGTGACATAATATCCACTAAAATTCTACAGTTTTACCGTTCCTGTTTAGTTCCTTGACATTTCGTTTTATTTTTCACACAAAAGGAAACTCAAATTGGTGTTGAAGAGCTATTATTTCTATGGCCGATTTAGAATCAACAAGAACGATGTAGAAAGCCCATTTTTAGAATGCCCAATTCTAAATTTCAAATTAGGCACACGAACTAAGACCGCACGAACTTCTCCATCAAAGTTTGAAAAATGTTGACCCGCTGGGTGTGTACTGTGAAAACAGTTTACAATGTATACTTGCACCACCAGCATTATTCATTCTGTAAATACACGCATCCATTCTGGTTCAGGATAGTTATTGCCCAATAGCGACAAGGCATTTTTTTAAAGTAATATCTAGCACGTATTTTTTAAAATTTTCATCAAGTTTTAAATGGTCATCATATTTAGTTTAATTGTGAATGCACGTAAGGAAAAGATTTCTTACCGAAAGTCTATAAGTCAGAAATGATTATAGTGTCAATCAACTACTTATCACAAGCTTTTGCTTTCTGATAGTTTTAATGAAAGCAAATTTCGTTTCATGCAAAATGTTACTGAAAGTATTGGGAACGTTCAATACGTTTTAAGTCTAACACATTTTTTTTCGGATCCGTTCCCCAGGTAATCTCCTTCAAAACTGGGACGAAACTGAGCAATGTAATCTATATAAGACTCAGGCCGATGACATCTATATAGGCCTCAAAGCCAATGCCAATGACAGACTCAATCATGTGCTCTTTGTCAGGAAAAAATTCATGGACTTGTTCTGATTATGTTACACAAGTGGGATTAGCCACAATAGACAACAGAAGATGATACAATCCTTTCGCTACGTTTCGTCATTCCGAAAGTGTGGCCCCATGCATTGACTAAGAGCTTGCTGAATGCTCCTCCTTTGTATTAAATTAGCTTTAAGTTCTGTCTGTAAAATATGTATAAAACATGCATGAATTGGTATTTAGAATTGCACTTCACTGCTTAGATATATTATTATGTGTATACAAACATTTCCTAAATTCAAAATACTTATGTTTTATGTTTCTCAGTTTCTATCTGTATAGCATACCCTGGTTATCAAATTTTAGTGCACCACAATGTATTGTTTAATGTTCTTTTTCTATAAAAACTGAATATGTTCTAAAGATCTACTTAAACACTTTTTAATAAGGATAAAGTATTAATCATAATGAAGGATAAGTAGCAGTAAAAATTCTTATTAATGGTTCTAGAAGATAATTTATGGAATAAACATTTCCTCCAACACTGATTTTCGTACCGGTTTCTGGTTGGAATCTCTGGTGTTGGATGGAGCCTGCGCCATCGCGGAATAAACTGTAGTTAGTCGTCTAGTTGCCTGCCTTGCCAGATGTAGAAGCTGCCGTTGAACATGAGACTGCGGAAAATAAGTTTCTGCACATTTCAGAACTTTATCACATTACAAAAGCAAGAAAAATGTTTGGAAAAAAAAAAAAAAAAAAAAGAATTTACCAGGTTCGGCCTTATTTCAAAGATATATAATTATATAGCAAAGCAATAGAAAAGTACAGTAAAAAAGGACACATTCACATATAAATATTGCAAGCAATAAACAAGGTGTGATTAAGTGAACAATGTTCTTTTAAATTTTTTTCCCATACGAATCGGACAGAAAATCGTTTGCATGCAAGAAATTGAGCAAAGCCACAAGCGTTTACACGAAAGCAAAAATAGTAATATAATTATGAAAACTATAAGTTAGATAAAAAAAATATTGAAGATAGTTTACAATTCACATATTTAAAATCACTTTGCTATACATGTATGCACAAATTTATTTTAAATGAGTAAAACTTTAGTTGAAAGTTTAGGAAATTAGAATTCATTACAAAATTCTCAGAGGGAGTTATACGCAATAATAATGTTTGTTAACTATATTCTAACTGTTCGGTAATGATAATAAATAAATAAAATTTTAAACTATAAAATAACGTTAAAATAATATCAAAATTATACAAATTTTCTAATCTAATTAATTAGATAAAAACATCATATAATTTATAGTGTTTTGAATTTCCTCACTCGCCTCCTTTAGTTTCATGAAATGACATCGAGTTTAACTCAAAAATATTAAAAATTTTAAAAATTAGAAAATCACAAAGTGTTTTACACACTAAGTGTCTAATAGTTAATTTAGAATAATTGATTACAAATTTTACAGTTTTATTTCTTATAATATATCTTTTCTATTTAGATATTTAGAATGCTATTTAAGAATATTATTATGTCAAATCAAAAACGTTCACCGCTACCTTAAACAACTTTTCCAGACGTAACTATAATGAAAATAGAATTGCTAATATCACAACCCCATGCAATTTGTTCGAGTCTTTTACTATTAACGACAAACACTGTTTTTAATAATACATACTAGAATATCAGACAGAATAATTTAAAAACACATAATGCTATTAATAACAAGCAGCACCTTATTTATGCTAACTTTTCTAACTCTGAAGATATTAAACACGAGTACTCAGTAACAATTTGCATTATTTATAAATTTATAAATAAAATAGTAATATTTATATTTAATAGTTTATATTTTAATAAAAATATTTTTTCCATTTTAAGTTTTTAATGTACTTAGTTTTCTTAATCATAACATATTTTACAATTAAGCAATCAGTCTTTTTGTCTATTTTTCCTATTCTACATTTTGCACATTAACAACAATAGTTTTTTTATCTTAATACATATTTTCCTTGCCTTACGAAAGAAGAAGCTCTTGTAAAAATTTTTCATACGGCAAAATGGCATGCATCGAAGATGAAATTACCATTTGTTTATTAGGGAGAAATCTTTCAGCGCTGTTGGACCATCAGAGAAATTATCAAGCATGCCAAATTCTTATAATTTAAAATAAGATTAAAAACAAATAATGATGTTGTAAATGCACAGTTTAAATATATATATATATATATCAACGACAAAAAGACAGCAAGCACGCTGGCGACTTAAAGGTGGTGGCAATGATAACAGTGCGTTGAGTCGTTGGAGATATCGTGATAAGAGTACAAAGCAAGCGATATAGGAAAATTAAAACAAGGATAAGCAATTAATACCTTCTCATTATTTGTATTCCTAAGACAATTGTTTCTACAGCTTCATGCTTGTCGAACTGAATGTTGAAAGTCGAAATCTGATGGTCTCTTTTCGTTGGGAAAGGCCTAAAGTAAAGGGTGTCCCAAAATTCAAGAAAGATCTGAATTTTGCGCCATTTGTGCAACAAAAGTTTGCCAACGAAAAAAAATGACAGCGAGATAGCTGTCAGTTCAGGGTTATTAAAAATGGAGCGCTATACGAAAGAACAATGCGTTTTCATTGTTGAGCAACAGTTTAAAAACTATGAAGGCTTGCCACCTACATTTTGCAATTTTTGCATAGAATATAGTCAGAATAGTAATTTAACGTTATCAGCGAAGAGATTATTTAAAAAATTTAGAGAGACTGGATCACTTAGTGATCTTAAACATTCGAGCTGTTCTTCAACAAGTCATTCAACGTAAAACATCAAAGCAATTCGTGAGAATGTCGCTAGAGTCCACGGTCAAAAATTGGACATTTCGAGAAACTCTCTACAGCGTTTTGTCACAAAAGATTTGCATCTTCATGTTTACAAAGTTCAGTTAACTGAAGAACTAAAACCTTCTGATCACGTATAGCGAACAGAGTTCGTTGAATGGATTATGGAACAAGAACAAGTGGACGCTAATTTTTTTAACATCATCATCTTAAGCAATGAGGCACATTTTCATCTTAATGGCTTAGTTGATCAAAAACTTGTCGCATCTGCGGTTCAGGAAATCCACGAATGATTGTTGAGAAATAAATGCATCCAGAATGTGTCATTTTTTTGTGCGGATCTTGGGCTGGAGACATCATCTGACCATTCTTCGAAATGCGGCTAGTCAGGAAATAGCAGTTAATGGTGATATGTGGTTTCAACAAGACGTTCCCACATGCCATACAACCCGAGAAACAATTCAATTACTGCATGAGTCATTTCCTGGTCGTTTTAATTTCCCGTTCCGGCGATCAGAATTGGCCGCCTATGTGATGCAATTCAACGCCGTTAGACCCTTTTTTTATAGAATCTTTTTTAAGTCTAAGGTTTATGCCAACAAACCCACGACCACCCACTCCTTAAAAGAGGAAACTGAGCGCTATATCAAAAACATTCAGCCACATTTAAGCAAAACGGTCACGGAAAATTTCAACAAAAGAGTGCTAATGTACCAGAAAAGCTCTGGAGGCCACTTATCCGATATGCTATTCCATACATTACTCTATACTTTATGAATCAATACAAATGTTTTTATTTTTATTGTTAAAGTAGTGCCTTCTGTCAAAATTACGTCTTGCTTAGTTTTGAGACACCTTTTAGAACAATACTATTGTTTGACTACTAAGGACCGACATATTTGTTTCACTTTTGCATATTCTGTTTTTTCACTTCTTCTATTTCATTTTTTTCCAGTTCTACGCAGGAAATCAAAATATTTTGCAAAAACTGTCATGAGTTTTGTCATATGCCGTATAATTAATAATTTTCAACAATCATTGCATATAAAAACGCTGAACAGTACTTCCACTTTTCAGCTTTCTTTACAAAAACGAAACCCTCTTCGGATTTCTTTTATTAATATTAACCTAAAAAAAATGCTAGCATCTTTAGTAGAAGAGAAATTTCGTAAAGCAAATTTTTCATAAAGCAAGGTTACCTATGCATGAAGAACATATTTTAGTAACAGCAACAGAACATAATGCTTCAATTTTAAACTTAATAATAAAATACTGAATTTTGTACTAATTTAAGGCAGTCTACAGATACCATAAATTATTCTTTAATATATTACATACAACTAAAATAATAATATTTACTGATTGTTTGCTACTGTTTTGTTCCCAGATTCCTGTTCTTTTCTTACCTTTTCTTCTGCTTTTTCATTGTCTTTTTTGTCTTGCGCCAGATTCGCCCACAGTTTATTGACATACTCAACAGCTGCATTGAAGCGACTTTTGGTAAATTCGATCTATCCGAATAAAAATATCACCAATTAAGAAAAAATTATTTCCAATGAAAGCCGCTTAATATTATCAAGTTTAATAAAAAAAATTATTAATCATTGAATTTATTTACAATTAAATAAAATGGTTAAATATTAATTTTAAATAATTAATTAAATGGTTTACTATGTTATTAAATTCAAGCCTTTCATACCTCTCTTGTACACATATATACCATCAAGATTGTAAAAAACACCTAAGAACTTGTCATATGATTCTTATGTAATGCTGATGATGTAAATGTAACTAATCCTCAAACAGCCAATAGTAATTTTACAGCAGTGTTAACTATCCAATCAAAATGCATTGAGAACCAAAACTAACTCAGTCTGAATTAAGATTTCATCCTGAACACAACGCACTTCCTTTCTACGCTTTGGCCTAGCTGAACTGCAGTCTGTCGACTCCTTCTTTTTTACCGCGATTTTATCAAAATGTAAGCTTAAATGTAAGCTTGGTAAGCAAAATGTAAGCTTGGAACAGGCACTTGTTTGTGGCCGCAACATGTTTGCTTAAATAAAAAAATGAAATTTTAATCTGCCTGCGCCTCCAATTTTTATTTATTATGGACCAACATTTCTACGCCATCAAAATTTCTGCTGGTCTTTGCTTCTGAGTTTGATTTTATCATATATATATATAGAGAGAGAGAGCTTTAGATTACACTCCCCTGATGAGTCAATCTAAATTTATTCAGCTGGCAACATCATTACTCGTTTATTTTGTTTTTGATTTTCATGTGTTTCCTTATAACTTTTAGTCTCCCTTACCTTAATTTTATCTATAGGCTTTAAGTTGTCTTATTTATTTTTCTCAATGCTCTTTATATATTCTAGCTAACTCTATTCATACAGAAAAGGCAATATTTATCAAAAGTAACATTAATGATTAAAAGAAAGAATAATATTAATGAAAATATCTATATTCTAAAATTTCACTTTATTGAGGAATTACATTAAACTTGCATAGCAAATTTTAAATCATATTCTTTGCAAAATTAGCGGCCTGATTAAATTAATGTTATTGTAACCCTACATTCATAAAAAATAAACAAGTAAAACTACAGTAAACATAATACAGTACAAAGTCCGTAATCTGGACGTCCATTATCCGGAATAATCTATAATCCGGACCTCAAAGCCACAAACTTACGCATGCGCATAAAGCTTTTACGCATGCACGTTTGATGCGCGCGTCCGCTACGCATGCGCGCAAAGCCAGTAAAGTGTTTACCCATGCGCGCTTGCGATAGTGAAGAAAGTAACAGAGAACGTTATTGATAACGAAAAAATTTCGACTGACAAGTTAGTCGGTATTCTCGACACAGCAATTACAGGACTTGAACAGTGGAACTTTGTAACTGAACAAGAAATTATGTCCTTTTATAGAAGATAGAATTAAAGAGAAGGTATTAACACAAAAAACGAAGCAAGGAAGCAACTTAAACAACTTACATCGATAGAAATGTTTACTAATGTAAACAAATAAATATTAAGCTTTTTTTTTCTGTAAATTTTGAGGTAGCCGGACATAATCCCGACAAGCCAGAATCCCGACAGACGGAATCCCGACAAGCCAAAATCCCGACAAACCAAAATCCCGACAGGGTCGAAATCCCGATTGTCCAATATCCCGACAGGGTCAAAATACCGACACGGGAGAAATCCCATTAAGGCCTAATGACCCCTTAACATACTTCCACAGCTGCTTACGAAAGGACATCGTAATGACAAAGGGTCGGCTGACCTCACGCGAAGGTCATTTCTTATCTTTTAGGCCTTTTATAATCTATGTGAATAGGAAAGAAAGAGGGAACTATTTCACAATGACGGAATGATACAGCTCTAGGCTTTCTACATGCTATAGGGTTACGTTTGCCTCGAGATAGACAGTGCTCACTTGCCGGTTTATTTTTGCTCATTAAATTGTTCCAAAATATGGCTGAAATTAGTAAAATTTGTTCCGTCTCAAAAAGGAAGCAATAAAATTAATGCACGTGGTTATTTAATGAGTGCAAGATAAAAATCGCGACGATTTATATTATTGGTGTTAGTGAAAAAAGAAAATACGATATGTGCAAAGGTCGAGTAGTAACAACAATATTTTCTGAATGGACGAGCATCAGCTCCGTAAATTTACTCAGCATAACCATGCTCCAGCAAGCGAGTGCAGCTGCTATCGCAAAATGTATTAGCCAATTTGAAAGAAGATGCTCGGCATACCGGAAGGGAGCCGTGTCAGATAATTCAAAGCAACATCGTAAACACCTCTCAGAACATTTCGCCCATACCTTCCATCAAAAGAAGCTCTTTCGGAAAAAAAATTAAACGGGTTAGGCAAAACGAAAGGCCACTCAGAACCAGAAATCATTGAATGAAATTGATATTCCAGCTACTTTAAGAAATACTTTAATTGGTGAAATATTTTTAGTGAGAGATTCTGCAGTTGGCGGAGATGAGAGAATTCTAATGTTTACAACCAGTGAAGTTGCAAATCTTAAACATGTATCACAGGCGCCTTATTGGATTATGGACGGCACATTTAAAACGGTGCCCACAATATTTTAACCAGCTATATACAATTCACGCACCTGTTGGATCTCAAAATTTTAGAATTCTTCCACTAGTTTAGTATATGCTTTGATGACTAGCAAATCTGAAGAAAATTACAAAAGATTATTCCAAGATTTAATTGATTTCGCTGATGTGAAGAAAATAATATTGAACTGAGGCCATCTAGAATCATTAGTGATCTAGAAAAAGGCAGCTATAAATGCTTCAAAATCAGAGTTCCCTGACGTTATTAATAAGGCTTGTTTTTTCCATCTGTGTCAGTGTGGTTGGAGAAAAATCCAATCGAGTGGATTGGCTTCTCGCTACGGCATAGAGGAAAGATTTAGTTTAATGCTTCGTCATTTATTTGCGTTAGCGTTTCATATCAAGCTGACGAAATTTCAGCAGCATTTGACACTTTACTTCCTCACTTGCCACCCGATACTCAAGAAGTCGTTCAGTGGTTCGAAGACAACTACATTCGTGGAAGAATGCGGCGCCGTTTGTGTAATGGCATTGCCGTTCGCGTTCCTCCGATGTTCCCACCAGCACTCTGGAGCGTGTTTGATTCCCTACAACTGGGAGCTCCGCGCACTCAAAATGCTGTCGAGGCTTGGCACAGAAGATGGGAGACCTTAATTGGACGGGCATGTTGGCGTTTATAACATCATAGAAGGATTTCAAAAAGAACAAAAGCATGTGGAATACCAAGTTGAATGCATTCTTCGCGGAGAACAACAACTAAAACGTAGGAAGGTAGATAATGACAGAGAAAGGAGAATTATGACTGTTGTGGACGATCGTGATAATCGACCTGTGATGGAATATCTTCGTGGTATCGCTCACAATGTGTCACTGTAAATATGTCGTTTGCATGTGTAAGTGATGTTTACTTTTTCTTAATAAAAAAAGAATTTTATAAATCTTCATTTCAAATTTTAACGGTCATTTCAATTTGTTAAAAATTATTTTAAGTAATGACATAATTTTTATGATTTTTTGATTTAAACTTTTAATTAGTAATATGTAATAGTTAGTTAAAAAAATTTTTTTTAAGCTAAATTGAGTGTTTGTATTTAGATATTAACTTGTCGGGATTTCGAACCTGTCGGGATTCTAGACACTCAGGATTCTGGCTTGTCGGGATTTCGACCGTGTCGGGACTTTGGGTTGTCGGGATTTCGGCCCTGTCGGGGTTTTGGACAGTCGGGATTCTGGCTTGTCGGGATTTCGGCTGTCGGGATTATGACCCAGACCCAAATTTTTGATACCCTTTAGATCATAATTGCTCTTTATTTCATAAATTAAGGTTTCATATTTTTAATTGTATAATTTCTGCATGCCATCTTACCATATTTAAATTGATAATCTATAATCCGGAAAAACCCCTAATCCGGAGTCGTCGAAGTCCCGACGGTTCCGGATTACGGACTTTGTACTGTATAAATAAGCTAAACGGAAAATAAATACAATAAGATAATAAAATACTAATATGAATCAAAAAGTCCATAGCATAGCAACAATACTAGTCTATTTGAGATTATTAACAGCTTACCGCTTCGATGGGATATGAAATGACCAAATCCAAAGCCCACTCCTGAGCATACTCTACTTTCAAAACTAACTGCCTGTACGTCCTGTTTCGAACCGTCCTGGCAATGTTAACTAGTCGGGTAAGCGTCGAAACCTTTTCTTCTTTCTCCTTCTTGAGAGCATCTTTTTCTTTAGCTGCAAATACGTCATTATGCGTAAGGTAAATTATTTAACATTTTTCAAAGTATCATAGCTTTAGTTACAGTAATATATTAGTTCATACTTAAAGCCAGGTACACTTTTTTTATAATTAATACACGTGCATTTTGGGTGATTACCACGTGCTATCCATTTATGGGAATTTGGCTACATTTCGGATCGTTAACGTCCGCACAGTGTCTTATACTCTTGTCACGTTAATTTCAGTAATTAGAACTGCATTTTATCGTTGTATTATGCAGTACTGCTTCTGATTAGCTATTTTGCTTTCTTCGGTGCATTATAATAATGCAGTGCACTGAATTCAGTCGTCTAACACATTGCAACGTACCTAGCCTCTCTATAACATTAAATCAACAATCACATTAATTTCTATACATACACACGCATATACTCACAGCCATCCACAAAGGATTATCAAGATTTTATTACTAATCTAAACAAAGCATCCAACAGAGCTATTTAAAAGCAATAAACAAGGACACTGCTCGAAACAATTAGGTGTTGTTGTTAATTAGAGGCCCCTAATGACATCAACAAACCATGCTGATGTAATTAGAGGATGTTGTGAATTCGATTTGAAATAACCATTAATCGACAAATTTTTTAACAAAAATGAAATAGAAGAGGAAATTATAAAGTTCACAAATTTGGGAATATGCAAATTTTATCTGTGACGTCGAAAAATACGTCTTTTAAGATAAGGAATGAAAAGTGACTTGAAGCATTTCTTCTGTAGGAGGAAATTAAAAATAATGCACACTTGTTGAATGCTTTGTAACAGTGAATTCGATGTTTCAACAAGATGACTTAGCGTTAGGAGTTTCTCAAAGTGACATTCCCAGGCTATGGAATGAGTTTTTATAAATAGGAAATGTTCGCCGAAGATTGGGACAAGGCCGTACGCCTGAAACAACACGAAATGAAGGTTGCTAGTTAGCACTAATGGCCAGAAGAAACCGCATTATGAACGCCACTTTCTGGCAACAGCACCTTCAGATGGCTATTGGTACCAGAGACTTAAACTGTTCAAAACAAATTCAACCATGTGGATTTGTATGCTCGCAGACACTGAACGAACGTGCTTCCTCCAGAAGATGGGCATAGGAGCATCAGATGAGTGGAGCAACGCATTCTTCGAAGATGAATCCCGCTTTAGTATACAAACTGACAATAAGCGTATTTTCATCTGGACAGAAATGGTACAAGGTACACGAAATACGCCTGCATTTGTGCATGAAAGTGTCCGATTTGGAAGAGGCGAGGGATGGTGTGGGCCGAAATTTCTATCATTGGCCTCACCGATCTGCACATCATCAGGAATGGATAATGGTTCAGCGATATAGAGATGACATCTTCAAACCTATAGTTGTCCTTTACGTTGCATAAATTAGGGATGAATTCATTCTCATGGATTATAACGCCACGCCACATCGTGCTCAGCTAATTCACAATTTCCTTTTTGATGAAGGAATCTTTACAATGGATTTGCCGGCATGTTCCCCAGGCAGAACAACAGAACATGTTTGGGACATTCTAATAAAAAGGGTTGTTAGTCGCTTATCAACTCCAGAAACAATTCAGCACAGAAACAATTCAGAAAGTTCTTACCTTCAGAAGTAGAAGAGAATGCCCCAGTTGCTAATTGATTCCATGGCTCGTAGGTGTGTGACATAGCTTTCGGTCAGGGAAACCATACCCCTTACTGAAACTCATTTACCTCAGAAAAATCACACTTTTTTTGTTTGTATAATTTGCACAAATTGTGCATCTTTTATTTACCGAAAAATATCGTCAATAAAATGAAGTTATTCACTGTTCGTTTTTTTTTTTTTTTTTCTTTCCTCATACCTTACAATACCTATATATCATACATCAGTAACCGAAACATTTCATCTCCCGTAGTTTATATCTCAAATTATAATATACCCTAATTGTTTTGAGAAGTTTATTTATGATTAATTAGAAAATAAAAAATGCATATTTTATTTTGGAATAAAATAAATGGTTGAATATACACTCTCTATAAACACATAAAAGCGAAGCAACAAGAAGGTATCCGAATAGGACAAAAATTTAGATGTGATGAACTTGTATTTAAAATGAATAACTGTTTATTCACTAAATACATTTACAAGAGGGAGAAAAATCATTAATGCGTTGACCAACCTCTGGTCTTAATGCAAGCAGTTATCCGGTTGGGCATTAGCTCGAAGAGTTGGCGGCTGTCCTCCTGCGAGATTGCTTGAAATACACATTCCAACTGATGAGATAGAACTGTGCGATCCAAGGACGGTCAGCTAATCATCAGAGCCTGAAAGTGCTCTGTTGGTTAGAGATCCGGCTATCAAATGAGGTGGCACTCCATACTATAACTCCTGGCTGCCGGGTTGTGTATTGGTAGATAGTGAGGTGAATTTCTCGCCGCTGGCACGTCTTCGCTGGTCATCGGGGCTCAGTTCGAACTGGGACTGACTGCTGAAAACAATTCTATTCCAATCCGTGAAATCCCAAGTTTAATGCGCTCAGCACCACACTACAAACATGCTTGACGGTGGGCAGTGGTGAAGAGCAGTCCGTGATTCCGTGATCTTAGCCCAGTTCGCTGAGTTCTCCTATCATTATTCATTGTAGTCACTAGTATCCGAGTTACAGCTGGAATGTTGATAAGGACGCAACAGGGGTTGTGAGCACCGATCGGACTATCCCTCTACCCTCGCGTTCTGTCGTCGTTCTCAGTCCACTGCTACCTTCTTGACGCTCAATACGGCCATGGTTCACCCAATCCTGCCAGCATCGTTCCAACCCTTGTTCCAATCGTTGTCTAGCGATCCTACGATTTGATCACCTTGTTTATTGCACGTCATTAATGACAACTACTGATACTCTTCGTGAACCCATCTGAAAGGTATTGGCCCACTCCACATGGGTTGACGGAACCACATTCCCATGGACGTTATGCCTTAGCACTGGAATGTTCTGTTTTTCTACACTATCCGAATGCTCGACTGCAAGGTACCGGAGACCCAGCTAGTAGCTTAATGGCCACAAAAAGTGAATAACTTATATTTTATCGTACCGTATGGTATTCTATCGAAAGGTTGCGTATGGGCAAATGCAAATTCGTTCTATTCGGATGATTCCTTCTTGATGCGTTACTTTTTATGGTATAGAGTGCATTTTAATAAGCTGATGCTTGATGCTGTTTTAGTCTTGTTGTTCTTTATTTATCTAATTATTAGGGGAAATTCATTTATTGTTAGCGTTATCATTGACGATAATAATCGTTTTTTGGGCCTGCTGCTATGAGAGCTCATTTTGTGCAATTAATAGATAGGAGCTCGTCAATGATAGCGAGAAAGGGAACCGTATGCTATGATACATATTTTCGATTGATTTTCATTAACACAGAAGAACGATCTCAGTGAATTTACAACAAAGTTTGGGAGAATGATGCTATGAAGATGAAGAATCATTTGTTCACCCTATAGACAAAAGCTTTTTCATGCTGTATGAGAATATTCTTTTAAGAAGATTAAGCTAGATTCAGCATAAACATTCCAATCACAGAATTATAAGACTGCAAAATCTTATGCCTTAGCAATTAGAAACCTAAAAAGGGGGTAGAGTGAGAAACATACGCTTTAGTTTAGTCAAGATGATGGAAAATACAGTGAGAGGAAAAACTAGCAACAAAGTTTCAATCAGCATATAACCATTTGTGTCAAAAGCCTGTAAAAGGGCAAGAAATCTTTAGTGTTTTCTTAGTCACTCATTAGATCGCTGTTGCATCGTGTTTGAAGTTGCAAGTGTACACAAGATTTTTTTAAACTTTATTTAAAGACAATTTTCTTTAAACCCTTCTAACCAAACTTTAGATATTTTAGAAAATGTTTTATTCACGTTTCTTTGAATATGAAAAATCTTTATAGCATAATGTTCAATGAGTGTTACAGATGAAGACTCAGCCATACCGAAGACAAAATTTGATTTTTCACATTTATACACAAACGTGTTTTCATTTCATCTGCACCATGTTTATCATAAAATTCCAGATTTTCGATGGCCAAATTAATGATAATTATCAACTTTATATTAAATATAAGTAATCTTTGAAGTGTTATCTTCAAAATGGGAAACTTTTTCAGCGTAATTTTAACCTTTACCCCTTTCATTTTCTTCCCACGATCATAATCTTTGGACATAAGATGTTCTTTCCTCGATAACTGCACTTTTCATATATATCTCTCGAAAGGCATATCCTACAAACACATATTCTGTTGTCAAAAACGTTCCTCTTAATCTCGAGGTGAATATACTGTTATTAAGATTATTTCTTATCCTTGAACTACTGAGATCGTCAGAACTAGACATGGCTAAAAATCTTTCTCGGCTTAGAAACAGGCATAGTTATAAACGCGATATGCCTGTCTATCATCAAAAGTTGTGATAACATATATTAGTTATTTGCGGATAAACTGGTGCTCTAACCTTGAACTTCATGAACAATTTGTGATAAACAAAGCGATAAAACATAACTCGTACTTCGACGTGATGCCAATTTTGAAATATCTAGTAATTTAATTCATATGACCTCGACGTGTTCAGTACTTAATCTGAAGAAGGACAAACTTCGCAATAACTGTCCTTGCAAACACCATTTCTATAAATATAATCACTTGAAATTATTTCTTTGTTGCGATCTATTTTTATAAATATCTAAGTGTTAGCAATTTTTAAATAAATTATTTTATCTAAATGTTATCTATTTTGGAATTAAATTATTTAAAGAACAATCGCGAGGTCAGATTATTATAAAACGTTTTCAATATCATTGATGAATCTTTGCAGCGTAATTTTATTTAAATATCTGAAGTTTTTCAGATATTATGATTTACGAACGGCTGGTGTATGTTTCAAATGACAAATTCAAATATCGATACTAATACAGGAGCACTGATGTGAAAATTAAATTTAGAAATGAATGCTATATTTTATAACTTACAATCTTAGCCTTGAACTACATTACTTTTAATTTAGAAACTGTTTTTAACTTAGAAATTCGCCATATGTTTAGTAAAAATGTTCATAAGTTAAAGCTGGGAAAACTTATTGATTATTTACCATCAGGAGGCAGAAAGCGGTCAATGTAACCTTCAGTAGCTCCTATCAGAAAGTCATCAACAAATGTTAGAGCTGATTTTACCACCTGATTCGAAAGAATAGTGTCAACTGTCCTCTTCCCATAAGATGTAACAGATGTCACCTAGAGTAAAGAAACTTTATCGTTCATTTTAATAAATAATATTAATCTGTATAAAAATATTAGAAAATACAGGAAAATATTCAGAAATTTATAAAAAAATACATTAAATGTTTTATTATTATTACTTTAAAATCTTTCTTACAATCAAGCTTTAAATGAAGAATTTAATTCTTATAGCAAAAACTTTGCATATTGCGAATCGGTATTTCCAGAATACAAAAGATGTTCTGAGCAACTGAGAAATATATATTAAAGAATGTAGTTTTTTAAATTATCAAAATTCCAGCAGGTTATAAAATTAATTTTAGATAAAGACTCTTAAGAGTGAATCCAGAGAAAAAGACATCAATAGCTTCTTGCGTTATTTAGCAAAATTTCGTAACATTAAATACAAAATAAATACGTATATGGTGGTTTTGATTGCGAATAAATTCAAAGAGATAACGTAAACGTAAAAAATAAATAAATAAATAAATAAAAATAACTAAGATAAGCTTTTGATTAAAATCTCCTTTTCAAGTTTAAAAAATTTTTTGAACGATTGTTTTAGTAGAAAAATATTAGAGAATAGTCGACAAAAATAAAATTTAGTGTAATCTAAATTTCAGACATTTATACTAATATTTTAAAATATACATATTAATAAAAACAAATTTCATTAATAACCTAAATTGCTTAAATTTACATTTTAAAATATAAACAGTATTATCTACACAACACATTTAATTTTCCTAGAAAAATGTAAAGTTAATAAAGTACGTTTTATTTATTCTTGAGGTTCGATGCTTATCAGCATTACGAAGAAAAAGTACTTTTCAATAACTATGCATGTAGCACACCTATATTCAAGGCCTAAATATAAACTGCGCTAGTTAGAACTAATTACTTCATCCTGTCATCTATGATATTTTTGGGTTAAACTCTTGCATATATTTCTGTAAAAAATACATTTATACAGAAATATATGTATTTGTATAAATACACATGTATATATGTACATATATGTATTTGTATAAATACACATGTATATATGTACATATATGTATCTGTAAAAAATACATTTTAGAGTACTGAAAGCAATATTTCATAATTTAAACTTACTGCGCCATTACCGATATTCAAAATTCCTTCTAGCCTTGAGTAAACAGTGTCCGTATACAATTTTCTAGTGTCTCCAATGATCTATAATTCATAAAGAAAAAAAAAAGTTACTTAAAAAGAAAGTTACTTAAAGTTTACTTAAGTTAAAAAATAATAATGCAAACATAAAACTGAAGCGCTGGAGACAATTTTTTTTTCCTACAGTGTTGCCATTGCTCGCTTTGAAATCGTTGCGTTTGTTAGTCAAAAATTTTTTGATGTCTGGTAAAATATGAAATAGATAATAAAACAAATTCCAAATTAGGGCTTCCAGATGTCCATATTCGGAGGAGGAATACGATATTCAAAATTTGATGGCTCTAGGTACCGTTGTTTTATAACAATGCGAGAAACATATATACATTTAATCAGATTTTTCATTATTTAATTTCTTCAAATGTAATGCAGGATTCTAGCATTTAGTGGCAACAGTTTGAAAAGTGAATCAATGCAGAAAGTGAATAAAAAAAAAAATTCAGGATTGTCTATTTCATGCATTAAAATGTTTTTCTAAGGCAGGTAAGAATTTTATGTTAATAGAAAATATTACGTTTAGTAATTGCAGCAGAAAAATAATAACTACTCTCATATTTTATGTTTAACAAATTTCAGGTTTTTTAATTACCAGTGCTTCTAATTAAATACAATTAAAATTCATTGAAAATAATAACGTAATAAATATTTTGAAAAGAAGGAATGCTTTTTAAAAAACTGTAAGTACAAAAATAAAAACTTTAAAGATAGGTAAATCTTATCTTGTAATACATATTTTTATAGCTAAGTTCATTTAGTGTTATCCCATTTTCAATAATGATCATTTGCGCAATTGACATAGTCATGCCATATAATAACAAACATGAAACTACAACTTTTTTGTTTAAAATACTGCATAATAGGTAAATCAGCTATAAATTTTATTAAACACTGCGTAATGTTAAAATTATTTTATGTAGTTAAATTTTTAACGGAATTTTGCCTCATTTTTAATCTAATACATGTGTTTGTAAACATAATGGAAAACAACAAAGGCAATCATTATCGTTCTGAGCAAAAGCATTTAAAAAAAGACCATCTTTAAAAGATTATAGTTCACTTGTGGAGGTGATTTCTCCACTCTTGATCTTTGAACGTTGGCCTTCGCGCGTGTACGACCTTTGCTACCGATAAAATATTTACACGGACCGCTATTATTCCTTCGAAATTGTAGAGAACTTTGGATTCGAAATTTTCCCCCTTTTTTTAGATAAAGACTCTTAACAGTTATCATTCGCTAATGTTAGAAATTTGATAAATGCTTTGCAAAAAACAAGCAGATGAGAAATACGTTATCAGGCAGAACTTCAAAATTCCGCATTTAAAGGAAATAAATGGCAATTTCCTTTTCTCTCCGATTTCCGAAAATAAACGAGAAATTGAACATATTTTATGATGAATGCTTCTTATGAAAACAAAAGGAAAAGGAATTTGAAGTAGGAAATAAGAAAAGAATTTGAAAAAAAAAAAAAAAAAAAAAAAAAAAAAAAAAAAAAAAAAATAAAAAAAAAAAAAAAAAAAAAAAAAAAAAAAAAAAAAAAAAAAAAAAGAAAAAGTGAAATAATATGCACAAACGGGAGAGGGGAAAAAAAAAAAAAAAAAAAAAAGATCTTGTTAAAGAAAAAAAAACTTGGTGTTTCATTTTTTCCTAAGCCTGAAACTTTTTCAGGCTTAGGAAACTTTCATATCGCTTAAAATTATTTTACTTTTTATAGAATAATTTCATATCTTTATTTTTAAATTTTCGTTTTAGAGCGAAAAACTAAAAACACAATAACATATCTGAAACGCTTTCGTTTTAGAGCGAAAAACTAAAAACTCAATAACATATCTGAAACGCTTTCGTTTTAGAGCGAAAAACTAAAAACTCAATAACATATCTGAAACTCTATCGTTTTAGAGCGAAAAACTAAAAACTCAATAACATATCTGAAACGCTTTCGTTTAAGAGCAAAAATCTCGTTGCAAAACATATCAGAAAGGAAAAAATAAATTATTTAGTGCGCCTAGTTATCGTTAATGAACAAACATGTAATTTTTTTTTTTTAAGTAAAAAGAGAAAACTTAAATTAGCAGCTTTCCTCGTGGACAAACGAGTAAAGAAAAGTAAAATTGCTCATACAGCCATGATAGCATTATGAGTCCATTAATTTTTAACTAATTACTTTTTTTAAAAAAACCAAAAAAAATCTGAAAGCCTTCAGATTTTATATTAAGACCAAAGGGGCGTTTTTTAATGCTTTGTGTGCTACCTTTATTTATTTTATATCATGCTCTTTGCACTTAACCCATAAAATTCAATTCAGCAGCAATATTACAAAATAATTTAAAAAGAGCACATCTTCAGAATTTCCGATACACAGTCTCTCATGCTCGAGATAATTTTTTTTTTTTTCGTACGGTGTTGCATTCGCTCGCTTTGAAATCGTTGAGCTTGGTAATCAAAAATTCGTTATTAAAGTTCTACGACACATGAAATAGATAATAAAAATAAATTCCAAATTTGGGCTTCGAAATGCCCAAATTCGAGTGGAAGACTGCGTTATTCAAAACTTGATGTCTCTAGGTACCGTTGTTTTTTCACAATGTTAGAAACATGAATACTTTTATGCAGATACTTCATTATTTAATTTCTTTAAATATAATACATGGCTCCAATATTTGGTGACAATAATTTGAAAATTGTAACGCCGTTTATAGTGAACCAACGTAAAATGCCAAACCGAAATTAATAGCCCTTCCTGGGAAAACTGCCGCTTTAGGCTAATTATGTTAAGCCCTTTTATGCATTATTTAATACTGGGATCTGTAACGTGTTTTTTTAATTAGCTTTTGTCACTACATTCCTAAAGATGAACGCAGATATTAAGCAGTTTGCATCCTGTGTCTTTACTTTTCAACGCTTTGGTTTAAAGGTCGAACCCAACAGTTTTTCGTTCACTAAGAATCAATTAGGTTATTTTTATTCTTTGCAATGTTTATTGGTCACTTATATGCTTGTCTTTTATGTAAAACGACGGCAAGTCTTTCTGCACTTTCTCTCCATTAGGATAAGATAATGAGTAAAGTTTGCTCTTTTTAGTTGAACTTTTTAACTCGTTAATTCATATATATGCACAATGTGTCTACATGGAGTCAGGAATAAATTCGAACAAAATCAAAATTTAAAAGTTTTTTTTTTTTTTTTTTTTTTTTTTTTTTTAGAGTTCAAATATAAAACCTTTAAGTGAAAACATTTGGCATATTCATACAGCTGTTTGATTCTTACGTGCAATTTAACTTTAGGAATACTGTCAAAATTTCTGACTACGATTTTCTTAATCTCTTCAGTGCCAAAAATGGTTGATAAGGAGGCTAAGAGCTGTAATATTTTCCTTTGCTAGAAGCCACTTGAAGAGAGTGGACTGTATGACGGCACATTTTCGCGCACCAGAAACGAATTGTTCGAGTGAGATTTTTCATGTTTAATGAGCTGAACTCTTTTCAGAAATCTTCCCATTATGTTTTTACCGTCTATCCCTCAAGAGCAAATTTTTTGGGAATTATCTCTTCCCAACTGAAAAGTGTAACCAACACAGTCTTTTAGATTTCCAAAACAAAATCTCTGTGCCCTTGTGAAAATTTTCCAGCCCAAACAAGTGACTGCCGTTTTGTCTCGAAATTACAAACGAAGCATCACATTTCATTTTCTGCCAGAAAGGTTTTGAAAAATTCGACATTAATGCCTATTATTTAGATCAAACTATCTTCTTAGCTTTTGAATCCATGAGAACAAATGTTCACTGAATTAAAACAGATGATTAATTGGATAGAAAAGTCCTTCAATAAGCAGCTGATATTTTAGAAAAAGTAAGTTGAACGTTGGCATATTCTTTGCCATGTAACAAATAATATGATTAGCCCAAACAATTGAAACGTTATAAATTGGGTCAATAAATATGTATATAATTTCTATGGTGATATATGAAAATCTTATATCTAGACTACGTAACTGTAATATTAACAGTAAGCTCTATGTCAGTGGCATTATGCGATAAGTAAGTGAGTGAAACGTTCAAGAACATTTTAAAACACTTATTTAAATAACATAAACTCATTGATTTAAGAAAGTAATATTTTAGCCGCGTGCCGGCTGATAAGGCTCTGCGTACCACCTGTGGCACGCGTGCCATAGTGCCCTAGGAACCATCACTGCCCTAGGAAATGTAGAGTAAAAACTATTGTAATAGGAAAGTTATTAAAAGTTAATTTCTTAGAAAAATTGAGATTAAACTGTGAAGAAAAAAACTTAAAAGAAGTATTAAATTGTATTTGAATTAATGATAGAAACATAAAATCCACCCCTCCACACACAGTTGAGTTGAGTTGAGTTGAGAGCAGAATCTGGACACCCGTGCGGCTTACTAAGACTATTCGGGTCTAGTCCAGGTTCCGCAACTATCCGGGGCAACACCTCATGGGGACTATAAGGGCATACGTTTGGTCTGTATACATGCTTACATAGTTCATAATATATGCTTACATAGTTACATAGTTCATAGTACATGCTTATATACAAGTAGTTCATAATACATAGATCTTGTTTACATAATACTTGCTTACATAGTTCATACATATACATGCTTACATACGTAGTTCATACATATACATGCTTACATAGTACATAATATATTGAGCCTGCTACATAATACATACATAGTAGTTCATAATGTATGTATTATGTAGCAGGCTCAATATATTATACATACATTATGAACTACTATGTATGTATTATGAACTACTATGTATACATACATTATGAACTACTATGTATTCAGTCCCCTCCACACACAGAGGGGACTGAAATTTGAAGATAATTAATTGTTGTTGATTATATGGAAGAAGACTGATTTTTCAAAAAGAATTACCGTATCTGCCGGCGTATCAGACGCATTCATATTTTATACACATTTTTGAAGAATAAAACTTTATTACTGACCATTATAATGAATGTACAGTATTTTAAATATAAAATAATACAAATACTAAGTAATACTTTATGCAAATACACAGTCTATCTGGGAAAGAATACCTTTTAACCTTCTTCTTCAAAACCTTTAATCTTCTTCGCCATAACTTGCCAACAAATTTGAAAAAACAGAATAGTAGAAATTTTACCCACTTAAAAGTCTTTCACGAAAATTGGAAAGTTTAAACGAATCCAGCTGTGATCGTCGATGACAGCGCATGCGCATTCACTGAAGTCTACGTAACTGAAATATTCCCACACTCCCGCAAGGAAACAAGAAAAAACATCGCATAACTCCGAATAGAGGAATTTTCCAGAAGTGAATGTACTAAAAAACTGAGTTCACGTATAAGACGCAGTATCGACGTATAAGACGCACTTCGTTTTTCCGACCTATTTTCAAAAAAAAAAAAAAAAAAAAAAAAAAAAAAAAAAAAAAGAAAGAAAAAAGTGCATCTTAAGTCCCAATCACACAATGTTTCCGCTACGAGGGACTGGACGTCGAAAGGGACAATTCTCAGAACCCGCACATTTCCAGGAAACCCACATAGCTAGGTTACCATTTTCCCTTACTGCAAAGAAGGCGAAATTACTGAATGCGAAACAGTAATCGATTAACGCTCAGATTGGGATCATGTGATCCTTCAGATGCAGAACTTTCATCTGGTTGGTTGATCTCTACGCGGGAGAGAACTCTAGCCGAAAGATTTTCGGCGAGGCGCCAAAATTCCCGCCTAGCCGGTACATCGTTTCCGTAGCTAGGCGGGACTTCGCTTTTAGCGGTGCTCTGTCATCTAGGAATCCTCCCGTTTAAATCAAGGCTACCAGAATTTCGTTTCATAGAAAAGTCCCGTCCAGCAGGCACCATCGCTAGATCTGATAACCTCTTTACACACCGGCAAATAAGGTAGTCTTTTTCCACAAAATCACCAATAATTAGGAAATGATCACTTTTTTTCCTCTTTCGTATATTTGAATTCGTATATTCGCCTCTTTAAACTGCAAAGAAATATAAAATTCTTTGGATTCAAATGAATTAATTTAAAATATACGAAAGAAATTTCCCGATGCGATCTACACTTTCTTTCGTGTTTCTGAAATCACTTGACATAAATTCAAGAAATTTTATAATTCTTTGCTTTTTACTTCCTTGCACGAAGTAAAAAGGAAGTATTGTAATCGCGAAAAGCTTCAGACAGCATATTTCAACGAAAATATCCACTTTGACCGCTTTCGAATGCAATTTAACGATGTTTTTGCGTGATATCTGTACGTAAGGACAGAATAAAAGACTCTTTTCCTCAAAAAAAAAAAAAAAAAAAAAAAAAAAAAAACTGCTTTAAAATGAATTCTGAAGAGAATTTTTCATAGCGTCTGTACGAACGTATGTACGTACGTATCTCGCATAACTCAAAAACGAGTAGCCTCAGAATGTTGAAATTTTGTATATAAGACTGCTATAACATGTAGATGTGCACCTCGGTTTTTCGTTTCAATCGGCCGCGCCAAAAGTATATAAATATATAGTTATAAATATATCCACTCTGTTACCCGGCTCAGTGATCTCAGTTTCTTTACTCTTATATGTTTGTACATTGTACATTTTCTGCTTTAAAAATGATTGAATTATGTTGTTTTTATCTTCCGGTTAAGGGTTTTATGCCTTTAGTAAATCTGTATGCAATATTTTTAGAATTATTAACAATTTTAAAATTGTTTAAGTGCCGCTAAGCCTAATTTGGTGGCGGCCATTGCTCTTGTTTACATTTGAAACAGCTGAGTAGCGGATTTGTTTCCAATCTAGAGAAACTTAGCTTCGCAACAACAAAGATAGCGCCTTCATTTATTATTTAAATCATGCTTAATCCTTTCTGGAATTTTTCCGAGGAAATAAGCGTTTAAGATTTACTTCGTAATTTTTAATACATATATTTTGAGTTTTTATGTATTTTTGCCTTGTTGCGAAGTGAAAACTGAATTAATTGAATGAAAAATACTCAATCGTCTGTGAAAAACTGTTTCTTTTTTGTTTTGTTTGCTTAATTTCTTTTATACATAGTTCTAGCTTTATTATAGTATTTGAATAGAACATGTGGCAACGATTAGATAATTCTTTAAATGATATAAATTTTGTGCATTCTGAGTTATAATATGAATGAAACATAATACTGTTAAGTAAACCTAGCGCCAGAGTGTCGCTATGGTAAACAAAGTGAATTTTAAAGACTGCATTTTAAACCACAGTTCTATTGTGGTTTATGCGCTGTCGGCGAAGTAGGTTTAATTCAATCTAATAAGTTTAAATGAAATGCAAGAAAAAATGCGTATAATTTAATATTCCGTTCAAGGAAGTCATGTGGTGTACATATCAGATTTTTTTTTTTTTTTTTTTTTTTTTTTTTTTTTGGAGGGGAAGGAGATTTCAATGAAATATACGAAAGAGAAGAAACGCAATTATTCCCTAATTATTGATGATTTCGTGAAAAAAGACTAATTCCCCTTAAAAAGTCAGTCTTCTTCCATAGGATCAACAATAATTAATTGTTTTTAATTTGTTTAGGTATTTTTTATTTTTATTATTAATAATTCTTACATAATTTAATATTTCTACTAAGTTTTATTTTCCATATTGTAATTTCAATTTCCTGTGGAATTAACTTCTAATAAGCATTTTATTACAATAATTTTTGCACTTTATTTCCGAAGTTAACAATAAAAATTTATATTTGTAATCTTAGCAGCGTTGACACTGGATTTGTCTTTGAAAGTCCATGTATCCCATATTTACTTATTTATTAATATACCTATATAAGTATAACAAAATACAATGGCTACTTTAAAAAAAAAAAAATTGGCGATCTCAAAATTAACATTCTAAATTTGGTGCTCTTCCCTTAAATTCATTTGTTCTTCCAAATTCGAGATAATTTTACGTTATGTAACGCTGCTAATTAACCAATCGTAGATTAGCGTACTTGTACATCAAACTTGATATAAATACCCCTTCTAAATATCTAAATAAATATTCGTAACATAAATACGTATAAACAAAATCTTTGAAGTAGAGAATTTCTACTAGGTTGTGAATCTGTAATCACACACTCACATTATACTTTCAATATAATGTGATATTATATCAATTATACTAAAACTTACAAAGCTGTAAAAATAAAATTTCATATTTCGAAATTTCTTTTTTAAAATCAAATCCTTATATTTCTATTTATTTTTTTTTAATTCACAAAAATTTACGATGCCATGCAGGCGCTGCCGAAGCAAACTATGGCGCCCGTGAAAAAGGAGTGGCATCCGCTACTTTGCGCTAAAAATTCTATTTCGGAACACTGGCGCTGCTACTGGTGCGTCAGCCACACCGAAACAAGTGAAGTCGTTATTACACTTCCGTTTTTGTTGTTCCAAAAGAACAATTTTAAATTGAAATGCACATTTTGGTATATTTGCTAATAAGTGACTCGGTAAACCGGATTAGAACGTGTAAGACAATTTTTAATCAAATAATTATCTAAGATATATAATACCAAAGATGTGAAAAGGCGAGAAAATAATCGCGAGACCATAAATCAATTAAGTAATCACACCACATCAAGAAAATAATCACATGAAAGATATTTATAATAAACTATGAGCTTGGACTTTAATTAAAAAATTATAAGTTTTCTTTTTGGAGCGCTAGTTTAAATTTAGTTATGAAAGAAATTACTGAATTGTATGTTTCTTTGGAACTATGAAATGCATTTTCAATTTTTTCCTTGTTTATTTTAACAACAGGCCGTTCTTAAAAAAATACTCTTCACATGCAACTTCGGAGCTCAATGCTAATGCACGATGAGATGCCTTTTTCTCGTAAATTATTATTATTATCAAGAAAGCAAGTTCAGGAAATCAGTTGCCTGACCTTATTTTCCAAACTATTTTACTTTATTTGAACAAGTGAAAAAATTAAGAACTTTTTTATCGTTTATGACAGTTTAAGCCATGTTTATATAATTCGAAAAAATTGATTGAAAACAAAATAATAAAAATGTATGGTACAATATAGCAAATGATACTTAATACAAATTTTATTTGTCTCCTAAATTTAATGGGTCTGTGTCATTTTTAGCTAAATAAATTATTCACAATCCTTTTTAACTCATTTGCGAATGTAACCTTCCGATGTTTTAGCTTAAATTAAGCAATTAGCCAAAAGAGGCGTTAACCGAGAAGGGCTATTAGTCTCGAAACGGCATTTTGCGAATCACTTAAATGCGATGCATCACTTTTCAAACTGTTGTCACCAAATATTGTCGTCCTGCATTGTATTTAAAGAAACTAAATAATGAAGAATCATGAATATATGTGTGTTTCTCGCACTGTCGTCAAATTGTGAATAACATAGTTGTCCACCCGAACATGGGCACCTAAGCCGGAATTTGGAATTTGCTTTTTTACCAATTTCATATTTTATGAAACTGTAACGAATTTGTGATTAACAATCTCAACGATTTCAAAGCGAGCAGTGGCAACACTGTAGGGAATAAAACAATTTTACCTTCAGCGCGCGAGACTGTCTATCAGAAATTCTAAAGGTATGCTGTTTTTAAATATTTTTAGCCCGAAGTGGCAGTAGCTTAAATACTCTCGAAACGTATATGTGTCTGTAAATGAAACAAACACCCGTTTGGGCGTAATATAAAATCTGAAAGCTTTCAGATTTTACTTTTCTTGCTTAATTTCTTCAATCTAAAACTCGAAATTAAGCATATTAAAACATTAAAATCATCTATGAGTTATTACTTTAAGAAATAAGCAAAATGCGCTACATTATTTCTAATTTACATACTTCATCTGCTGGCTTCTTGATGAAAAGGAACTTTTTCTTCTAGAGTGCCGAGACCTTTACAAGCAAGATCATCAACAGCTTGGACTAAAGAAACATAATGATAATTATATATTTGTAAGTAATTATAAAATTTGCAGATTAGTTTTGTTCTTTTAATATTCTTTTAACACATCAAACAAGCAAAGGAATTTCAAAACACATTCTTGTACTGCAGTATATTAATAGTTATAAATAGTGCTTAATAGTTATAAATTAAAAGTGTGTTCTTCATCAAATAAATAATTTCGAAATTACTCGCACAAGATTTTAACATTTCCTGTTGCTTCTCTAAACAAATTTATGGCCGTGTATTAATGCTATATTTTCTCTGTAATTATTTATTCCATTTTCTGCACTACTTTTCATTTTTCCCGGCTGAAATAATTTTCTTGATGCAGAAACTTTTCAGCTTTTCTAATACCTTCTCTGAATGTTTACACCTAAGATATAAAGTTTTATACAAAAACAGAACAACAACAACAACAACAACAAAAAAAAAAAAAAAAAAAAAAAAGACTTTATTTGTTCAAACAGAAAATTTACGTTGAATAAAAATATGAAATATAAATGTAGACGGGAATACAGCATTTGGTTGACGTAGATTTTATGTAAAACTATATCTGTTTTGAAAGCAGCCAACAAACTATTCTGTCTCGCAAAAGGGGGGGGGAAGCAGAAATCGTTTTTTTGCTTCTAGAGAATACTATCTATGCAAATCTATTTAATCTATGCAAATTTTTTAATTTATGAAAGTTTCTCAAGATTCCCGACAATATTATTAGAACAATGGCGTTGGCTTCGTAGGAAAAAAGAAAACTAACGCCATAATCCATAACTATTATAAAAGTGAGATTGAATTTTGCTTTTAATTTTAAATTTTATATTGTGTGTACCTCTTCCATATATTCTATGTAGTAATCGTGAAATTAATATTTAGTAATCGTTATAGAGGTACTGTCATTACCTCTACGTAAAAGAATAATAATACGATGAATAAAAAGATATTTTAGACCTTGCGCTATATAAAAAATAACATAAACAGAAAAAAATATGTTAAGTATAACTATATTTCTTACAAAAAAGTCTAAATTTTAAAATTTTATTCTACACAAGTAATTTAAATCATGAAAGTAAAAAAATTAGAAAAAAAACTTGCTGATTAGAGAATGATTTTTCCAATCTATGATAAAATTAATATTTTATGTTTATATTTACGTAAATAGCATAAGAAGTATCAAAATTTACTTACTTTGCTTTTCGAATTTCAGAACAACTGGTTTCGCTTGCCCTGCTACGAATGTTACGGACTTTTCCGCATTAGTTAGCGTGAAATTAACGAGTTTGTTGGACTCTTTAATATGAGTATAAGTGTTGGTAGCATAACCCCAAGCTACATTGACGATGGGCAGTTTGACCACCCTTTCCACAAAATTACTTCTCAAACTTGTGTCGCCTTCTCCTCGAGCCATATTTAGAATTATTTCTTCTTATATATCTGTAAAGAGAGAGAAAATAAAGTTTTGAATTTTCAGTGATTGAAAATAGACTTTTTTAGAAATACTCTTGTTACATTAATTAATTTGATTAAATTAAATGATTAAAGAATACACGTCTTATATATGTTTACTATGAGAATTATCTTCCACATAAAACAAGTATGCACAAATTGTTCTTTCAAATAACATTTAATACACAAGCTATTTCCTCCAGGTTCTATATCTGCGTTTGATAGGTATAGATAATCTAGAAAATATTGGAAGTTTTTAATCAATTTGCTTTTTATGATTAGTTTCTGGATGAGTCTCTGTATTAATAAATATTATAGATTTCTTATCTTTCTCCATTTTGCTTTTACCTTTTTATCCTGCTATTACTGAAAATATGAAGAGTTTAGTTATTAATAAAAATTTACTACTTCAGTTTTACATTCCTTTATTGTTTTCATGGATTATTGCAGTTTTCTACTATTATAACTTTCTGCTATTTTTGTGGATTTTTCTGAATAATTTTTACACAATAACACTTACTATGCATAATTCATTATGCTTTAAAACACTATTATTGTACAGCAGAATAAATCTTCTGAGAGTCATGCGTTTGACACGTTACATATACGTTAACAACTCATTTTTTTCATCTATTTTTTGTTTTTGTTATAATATTAGTTTGCATTTTTCATCGCATCTAATTTTTCTAAAATCTGTATTTTTCAATGAATCGCTATTTTAGATGGTAAGATTCAACTTTTTTAAATGACACATAATGCCTTATTAACAATATATCATTTGATGCCGTTCCAAATGCAAGAGTGTATTTTTCTGCGTAAATATATATTCAAACTTTTATCCTCTTTCTTCTGAAGTCCTTTTTTTTATGCGAGCCCTTTTCATTGTGCTCAACATTCCGTGTAAATAATTTAACACGAACCCAACGAGTCTTGTGATTCTTCTGTTATTCATCTTTACCATGCATTTCCTTCGTGTGTATTTTATCTGGTAATAGAATTTTATAGGTTTTTAGTTTCTCCGTAGAGTTTTGTTATAAATAATTACTTACGATTAATTTCTATAATCACTTACTAAAGCATCGCACATTGTATTAAACAGTGCACCTAAGATTGCGTTATTCTTCCATGAAATTCATGGACAAGACAACAACAAGTTTGCTTGAGTCATTCTTTTTCTTAGCCTGTTGCCATGAAATATTTCTTCTTATTTTGACATTGCAATTTTCTTTTCGTATTAAAAAGTGCTGCGTTGTTCGTCCAAATTTTGATGTATGTGTATGCTAATTCAGTAAGGATATATCTTTTTTCAAAATAAATAATTTTGACTGAAGACGTATTTTTTCCCCTAACGGAACATATTTTTTAACATCATTTCTTAATAATTTTGCGATGGCAACAATATCGATGTCATTAACGTAATGCTGTACAATAACGAAAATATTAAATTAATATTTTGTGCTAAAATCTTATTCGTTGCTGATATACTGAAATTAATTTCATATGTAAATTTATTTATTTATTTATTTATAATTTTATTTGAAATGTTAAATTAATACTTTGTGCTGAAATCTTATTCGTTACTTTCATAAAAGTGAGTTAGATTTTACTGAAAACTAAAGGACGATAATGCAAAATGAAGCTCCAGTTGCAAGTTATTCAATTTTAAACAAATACTTCGAAATGCCAAGATGTATTACTTCTATCCATAAAAAGTATGATAAGGTAACAAAATTTTATGAAAACTGTTTTATCAATCATTCATTGCAAACCATTCTGATATTAAATTTAAAAGGATTTTTCTCAGGCATCATATTGTACATTATTATTCCATCAGAATATTTAACTAAATAATAGATAATAATTCAAATTCGTAATGGTACAGTAATACCTGGGGGGATAATGTCAACAAATTAAAATCTGTTTTCACTTTTGGCAATTATTTTTAATTTCATACGAATAATTGTATTAAACAGTAGAGCCTATTACTTGAAAAATAAAGCTAATAGAGGTTTCGTGAAAAGAAATTATATTAAAAAACTTTCAATACGGTATTTTCGATTGTGAAATAAATACCAACATAATAAACAATATGAAATGCTAAAACAAATTATAGGTGCTTCATTTTAAAGATACTGAACAGCATTATATAAACATAAACAATACATCTAATTACTATAGCACCACATCTCAAAATTTTTGGAACTCTTGCCAGCATACGAAAAAATTCGAAAAATTCTCTGAATACTGCAGTTGTGCTAATACAGATATAAAAGCTTTGTTTAAATCATAAAACTATGATACACTATTTTAGATAGCGTCCGCATTTCATAAAACTTTCAGCTGTTATTACCTTTCAATTTAATAATCAGTACTTAAAAATTTTTTAAAGTTATTAGCATTAATTTTTTTTAGAGTATTCATGGCTAATGCAATCAGAAAATTCGCTTTTCGTATTAATTTTTTTGGGGGAGGGGAGGGGGATATATTTAAAAACATCATCCCACTTTTATAAAAATGCAATGCAACATTAAAGGTCTAAAATTTAATTTTTGAAATATTTAATTATTATTATTTATAATTATTAGATAAAATAAATATTCCTAGAGTATGCTGACCTTTTATTTCCGTAAAAAGATTAATTAACTGAAAATCTCACAAAATCCAAGGTAATTTTTTTTGTTTATTTCTCAATCATCATTTAAAATATTGAATATAATTTTAGGCACTATAATAACAGGAAACTTAGACTTTTATAATAAAATAAAATTTATAGTAATTTATTTTGCAATATTATGACAATTAATTTAGAAAATGTTTCACATTGAAATGAGATAAAACTACAAAGCAGCATCATTGACAATTACAAAGTAACGTACCTTATTGTTGCTGCAGATGCATTAGGTCGAATGAAGCCCGGTTGCAAATCTAACCTCATAAATATATTTACCCGATGTCTATCAATCAAAAACAGAGTTCAAAGTTTAATACGTCTAGCTTTCCTGTCGGTATTTAGTGCCGAATTTTATCAGTTACTAGGAGGATACGTTGAGGAGATTGCTAGCTCATCACACTTTTTTCACATTTCACCCATTTATTTTTAGCAAATACTTTGAACTGCAATATTGTTGCTATCTGTTTTGTCTTTATTTCTAAATAACTTGGAGATAATATTTCGCTTTTTGACAAGATTCTGTAAGCGGTGAAGCTATTCAATTGTTGAGTCAATAGGTCAAAATGACAGTGCATTAACGATAATGCACAATATATCGAATCTTAGAACAGATGTGAGGTACAGGAATAGATATGAGGAAACCGAAAGTAGCGCAATATTTTTCATTTAGGCAGCTAAGAATAACTAACAGTAATAAAACTGGATTTTGCTGAATTTCACAGTAAAATAAACAAGAATATAATTAGATAAATTTGTAGTAAACATAAACACATATTTTTAATTATTATTTTCAGATAAATTCAGATAAAGAATTATTTATTTTCAAATAAATATATTATATAAAAAATTTTCACATTTAAATACGTATATTGCAATATGAAAACAGCACCTGAGAATAAATTAAAATTTTATTTTATAAAAAAAAGGTAAATCATGTTTTATTACAAAATAAGAAAAGTGAAATTAACTCTGTGAGAAAAATATATTAAAGCACTGACACTTTCTAGGTAATGAAAAAAAGAATTAATAAGATTTTAAAATATTTTTTTAAAGAACAAATTGAAAATCTCAGAATTTTATTGTCTGGTACATCTGACAAAGCGAAACAGAAATATTCTGAATGAACTTTATCAATGATTTTAACATAATTCCTAATTTTTTTGGCAGAATCGTTGAAAGTAAATGAGGAATTATTCATTGTTAAAAAACTGTTTTTAATTAATAATTTGATTGATAACGTGTCATTCAGACTAAAAAGACGGAAATAAAAGTAATAAAATAAAATTTAGTAAGTTTTTATAAAATAAACTTTTATCTAAGATTCATGAAACAATTAATTAGCTAAAAGTAGAAAAATAATAATAATAATAAAAAATAAATAAATAAAAAATAAAAAAGGAGGGAAAGGGAAAAATAAAATCTGAAAGCTTTCAGATTTTACATTACGCGCACACGGGCGTTCCTCCCCCCATTTACAGACACATACACGTCTCGAGGGCATTTAGGCTAACGCCCCTAATATTTAAAAACAGCATATCTTTAGAATTTTCGATAGACAATCTCGTGCGCTGGAGATAATTTTTTTTTCCCGTAGTGTTGCCATTGTTCGCTTTGAAATCATTGAGTTTTTTAATCAAAAATTCGTTAAAGCTTTACAAAATATGAAATAGCCAATAAAACAAATTCCAGATTCCAAATTCGGGCTTTCAAGTGCTCATGTTCGGGTGGAAGACTATGTTATTCAGTGAGAGAAACATACACATATTCATGCAGATTCTTCATTATTTAGTTTCTTTACATATAATACAGGACGATAATACTTGGTGGCAACAATTTGAAAAGTGATATATCGCATTTGTGTGATTCGACGCAAAATGCCGTTTCGAGACTAATAGCCCTTCCGGGTTAACGGCCCTTTGGGCTAAAAACAATTAATTTTATCATATAGTTTCATATAAGCAACAGATCAAATAATTCCCTCAGCAAAATTCATCTACATCTTTATATCACCAATAAAAAAGCATGCTATATCCTTGTAATATGAGAAAAATGTTCGAATGTACGAAATTGCATAAATGTACAAAATTAATGGCTTACACTTTTGGTAATGTAGATCGTTATAACATTTTGTTATTTAGGCGCCTGAGTTTTTTTTTTTTTATTTTTTTTTTTATTTGTGACATAAAATTGTGGATGAACTTTGTAAACGGAATTATTTGATCACTTGCTTTAAGAGGTATTATATAAAAGGTTTATTTTATAAATTTTTTTTTATTTTATTACTTTTATTT